TTTCCAGAAGCGGGTAATCGGCTCTTGACGGGAAAGCCCTGGAGTCGAGGTCAACGTCGCGTTGCTCATACAGTGAACATAAAGATAAGACCAGGAGCCGATCGGCTCCTGATAAGACAAAGTGTGTAAGATTGTCTTCTGGTATAAGATAACTAAGACCTCTAGTCAGCTTCAATTGAAACTTGCTAACTCCCAACCTCGTCCCCAGGGCTTTTCCCTTAAAAAATAGGTGGGGCGCCCCGTCCATTTTTTAAGGGAAAAGCCCTGGGGACGAGGTTGGCTAACTCCATAAATGATCGTAATATTATAAATGAGGCAGATAATTTGCCTTCCTGGCGGCTTCATTTCTAGTTAGTCTCGCTTGCGTAGGCAGCGAAACTCATAATCTGCAACCCGTTTTCCTCCGTATTTATGGCACAAAAGGGGAGTCATTGTGCCAGGCGTTCCTGGCGGAGACCGTAGAAACTGGGAATGAGAATCGTTGCGTGACCGAAGCCACGCATGTTTTGCGAAAAAAACTCTCGAAAGATCAAATTTAGAGCTTTTCCGAAACGTGTCAGTCCACGAATTCTATCGCTTGAAAGCGTCAATTGCTTTGGAACAAATGAACACTACTGAGTGGTCGAAAAGAAATGAGAATCTTAATTAGCAAATGACTAACTGGTCGGGTGTTGTTAACTTTCATTTTGTATGCAAATACTAATCCATGCGTTTTCTTTTGTTCCAATGTTATTAATCGGTATTCTGGTTATGGCGATGTCACACGCTCAGATGAACCGCGCAGTGTCTCTGGAATTAAAATAATTTACTAAACAGATGTTGATGGTGCACCGTACTTTCTTAGGCATGATTGGAGAGGAAAAGATAAAAAATCCCAGTTTGATTTCCATGCAAAGCGGGGACATCCTCGGAGACCCAGGGGCAGATAAAGGAGGCGAGGGAAAGTCTAAACGGGCAGAAAAATATATATGGAACGAAGAAAAGTAAAGAACGGCAAACGGCTCTTCTCGCCGTTCTCTACTTTTCTTCGTGCTACATTTTTCCGCCCGTTTAGACTTTCCCTCGTCCCCACTATCTGCCCCTGGGTCTCCGAGGATGGTGCGGGGAGGGAGCACACGGGGAACAGAAAACCACAAAACCTTGTTTTATTTCTTTTCTTTTCTTTCTCATTTACCGACGTTTTATTTCCCGCTTTTCCCTCCTTTTTTTCCCTTTTTAGCACGTCTTCAGATATCATTAACTATAGTGAAACCCCGTTAACACGGACACTAAGGGGGGTAGCCTATTCCAGGCTCCAAGATAGCCTGGTCCGTTGAGAATTGAGAAAGCGCGAAAATAAATAAAAAAGAAAAAAAAACGAGAGGAAACTGCTCTCCCGGTCAACTTTTCGCTTGCCTCTCGCTCCTTCCAAACTATCTGGGAGCCTGGAACAGGCTATGAAGGGGCCAGAGAAAGTGGCATATTAACGGAATGTCCGTATTAAGCCCAGAAGGGGTACTCCCTCATATGGTCTACATGGGGATTTGCCGCTGGACAGGGTATGGTTTATGACCTCTCTGTCAGTCTGTCTTACACAGAGTATATAATTTTGTTTGATTCTGTTTGAAAGGGTGTATCCTGCACGACTGATTTGATTTCCTAAATGAATTCTTTATTCAAAAGCAATGATTGTAACGTGAATTGCTCTATTGCAATTGCCAATAAATGGCTTTAAAACAAGACGGCGTTCATTTTGTCCTATGTCCTAAACAGNGTAAAGAACGGCAAACGGCTCTTCTCGCCGTTCTCTACTTTTCTTCGTGCTACATTTTTCCGCCCGTTTAGACTTTCCCTCGTCCCCACTATCTGCCCCTGGGTCTCCGAGGATGGTGCGGGGAGGGAGCACACGGGGAACAGAAAACCACAAAACCTTGTTTTATTTCTTTTCTTTTCTTTCTCATTTACCGACGTTTTATTTCCCGCTTTTCCCTCCTTTTTTTCCCTTTTTAGCACGTCTTCAGATATCATTAACTATAGTGAAACCCCGTTAACACGGACACTAAGGGGGGTAGCCTATTCCAGGCTCCAAGATAGCCTGGTCCGTTGAGAATTGAGAAAGCGCGAAAATAAATAAAAAAGAAAAAAAAACGAGAGGAAACTGCTCTCCCGGTCAACTTTTCGCTTGCCTCTCGCTCCTTCCAAACTATCTGGGAGCCTGGAACAGGCTATGAAGGGGCCAGAGAAAGTGGCATATTAACGGAATGTCCGTATTAAGCCCAGAAGGGGTACTCCCTCATATGGTCTACATGGGGATTTGCCGCTGGACAGGGTATGGTTTATGACCTCTCTGTCAGTCTGTCTTACACAGAGTATATAATTTTGTTTGATTCTGTTTGAAAGGGTGTATCCTGCACGACTGATTTGATTTCCTAAATGAATTCTTTATTCAAAAGCAATGATTGTAACGTGAATTGCTCTATTGCAATTGCCAATAAATGGCTTTAAAACAAGACGGCGTTCATTTTGTCCTATGTCCTAAACAGGGTAATAAAATTGAGGGTGTTGCCCTAGACAGGGTATGTATTTTGGGATTTTTTTTTTTTGCCCTAAACAGGCTCAGGGTTCCAAACCCTCAGCAGGGATATTGACATTTGGCTCACCTATACGCAAATATTGGTCAGTACTCCCCCCGTCCCTAGTAATGTCGATCCGTCATTCCCAGGCCCTGCTCTTGCAGAGGGTGGATTCCAGCCCGTCTTCCAGCTTTTATCACATGTTCTTTGTTGTTTGTGGGTTTTTCAGTGATCTTGCGGAGATGGAAGGCCGCAGGTAAGCTTTTAACCTTGTTGGCTTTCGCCCGCGTTCTTGGCATATATTTTCCAACGGTTTCAGCCTGGTATTAGAAAACAGTAGAAACAAAACTTGGATGGAACGGATTTGAAGTGAAAGTGAATGAATGCCCAATTCAGCACAAACGTGTCCATTACGCTTAAACGTTCTGGTATGAGTTGCTCCTTGGGTTTGGTTACCCGCTTTCAAGTGCATGAAACACTGTGTAAGTGTTTGAAATCGCCTGTTAGTTGGACAGTGCATAGGGCTAAAGTAGCAAAGAAATGCCTTCAAAATCGCGCGCGTCCTTGTTGCGGGGAACTCCCCAGCCTATGTATGAAAGGAAAAGGGCCCGGGGGGTACTCCTGGGAATTCTTGGTGGGGGTGTGCTGCCCGGTTCTCCAAATCCTGACCCTGTTGCAGACCAAAAAATGTTATTTTCCACACCCTTTTTCAGACCAGACCTATAAAATGCGAAGGCAGGAAATTTTTTTGGATTTGAATTCCCTAAAGACCCCTTTCCTGGGTTTCTGATTCATTCAGACAGGATATTGGCCCGTTCCATTCTCGTGGCATGAAGCCTTGCAAACTGGCGGATTATTTCATCAAGGTTAATTTCCATGTTGTATGTTGGATATGGAACAAGATTTCAACTTGGAGAGATTTTTTACAATTAAAAATACACCCGGATGATCAAACTCAATCTACTTTTAAAATTATATTTATTATGAAAAAATCTGACTGCTTTCTGTAAAACAGTGGAAACTAGTGTGGATCTGTGCCTGGCATGCCAGGTTCAAAGCGACCCAATGACTATACCAAGCCAATAATAAGTAAACTTTATTCATCTTTCTTACATTATTATCAACATTTGGGATCGAAAGGTGCAAACATCTTTAATAATTTTTACAGAAACAAATAGAAACGGCAAATGACAGTGTAAAATATTTAGGGGGTAAAACTCTGATGTGGAATTTTTTGCTTCCCTCAGGTAAGTTGTTCTAATCAAATGAGGTTTTGTTTATTTGTCAAGAAAGGGTAAGAAATATGAGGAGCTTGGTTAAAAATTATGTGACCTCTATGAATTATGCACTGATCAGTTGAAACTTCAGCCCAATGTTACTAGTGGTCAAATGCAAATGCCCCCCCCCCCCCCCCCCTCCAAAAGTGTTATTTGCTTTCCCAACCAGGAAACAAAAAAAACTACATAACGAACCCATAATACTCTCGTGTGCGGAATAAAACCTATTGTGTGAGTTCCCCCCCCCCCCCCCCCAAGTTAGAAATGTTTTGCAGGTTCACTCAGTGAAGACAAAAAATAGTCTTAAGGGAATCCGTATGATGCTGATTGGCAATTGAACACTTGTTGATGACTTTTTCATGCCTTAATACCCTTAAAAACGCATACCTGTAGCTTTTAAAGTCCTCAAAATTTTAAAGAAATATTATATTAAACAAAGGCTGTTTGACTTTACCTTCTATCTCACTAAGGGAAAGATGGCATCTATCCATCCATGTTGTCAGACCTGGATTATACAGAGAAATACTCTGCTGGCAGAGGCCCTTTGATCTTCCTAGATAAGTCAGCTTATCTAGGAAGATCAAAGGGCCTCTGCTCGCAGGGTAACAGAGAAATTTTACATTTAAAAAGGTAACACATCCAGTTCAAATTATTCCCTTAGCGAGGCTAAAGGTCGAAATATTCCCCTCTGCCTGGGTTAAGTGATGCCATGGTTAGCCTGTGGCAATGTGAAAGTTTTAAATTGATTGGCGCACTAGATGGACGTCTGTATTGTGTATTTGTTAGGCCTTTGAAGCTACCTAAAAGAATGCTTAGCAGAGAGTAACCATTTGAATGCAAGGAGTGTGGGAAATGTTTTAGAAAGAAAGGACCTTTGCAGCAACATAAAAGAACACATACTGGAGAAAAACCATTTGAATGCAAAGTGTGTGGGAAATGTTTTAGTAGGAAAGGAACTTTGCAGACACATAAAAGAACACATACTGGAGAGAATCCATTTGAATGCAACAACTGTGGGAAATGCTTCAGCCAAAAATCTGATTTACAGACACATAAAATAACACATACTGGAGAAAAACCATTTGAATGCAAAGTATGTGGGACATGTTTTAAACAGAAAGGATATTTGTCACAGCATAAAAGAACACATACTGGAGAAAAACCATATGAATGTGAAGACTGTGGGAAATGCTTCAGCAGTAAATATATTTTACAGAGTCATAAAAGAACACATACTAGAGAAAGACCATTTGAATGCAAAGAGTGTGGGAAATGTTTTAAAAGGAAAGAATATTTGTCACAACATAAAAGAACACATACTGGAGAAAATTTATTTGAATGCGAAGTCTGTGGGAAATGCTTCAGCCGTAAATGTACTTTACAGACACATAAAAGAACACATACTGGAGAAAAACAAGTGGAATGCAAAGTGTGTGGGAAATGGTTTAAATGGACAGGATATTTGTCACAACATAAAAGAACACATACTGGAGAAAAACCATTTCAATGCAAAGTGTGTGGGAAATGTTTTAAACAGAAAGGACATTTGTCACAACATAAAAGAACACATACTGGAGAAAAACCATATGAATGTGAAGACTGTGGGAAATACTTCGGCCGTAAATATATTTTACAGATTCATAAAAAAACACATACTGGAGAGAAACCATTTGAATGCAAAGAATGTGGAAAATATTTCAGAATGAAAGGAAATTTGAGGAAACATATCAGAGTCCATTTGGTTGCCAAAGAAAGGCCAGTGTCTACAGGAAACAACATGGGTCGCCCCAAGATAATGAGTTGTTGGATTTGCCAGGAAGAACTTCCAACCTATGGCCTACTCCTTGTACATTATGGCAATCACATGAAGTAGAATATTCTTATTAGGACAAGTCAGTGTGTTAATTCACACCTAATCCCACAGGGGTACACGAGTTTTTTCTTGAGCAGGGGTCCAAAGAAGAGCTAAAACTCCTGTAATATCTTCTGCCAAGTCAGTTATCCTTGGTTAATGGTAAGGTTAGGTATTTAAGGAAACTTATGTGTAAAAAAATGATTAAGTTTATAGGTAACCCATAAAATCTATGCCTTCAAAACCAGCATATTAAAAGATACCTTGATTATTTGAATTGAATTGAATTATTTTAATTTAATTCAAAAAATCTCCAAGGTGCCAGTAGTTTAATAGATATGTATGAATCCTTATCACCAGCAGGAATTTAAATCTTACAATGCAACAGAAGCTACAAGAAAATGTGGAGTAGCCTGGAAAAACAGCCTTTTCTTCTTGCTCTTGGCTGCTAGGGACTGTGCGACTCAGCGACAGAAATTCCATACTGATGACGTAAATCAATGTTTACGTAATAAATCCGGTAGTCATGGGGTTCCAAATGCAAATTTGTTCAGTTTTATGTTTCTGCTGGTCGATTTTGGTAAATTGTTGTGTCCATCTGCTAACGCGCTCCAGCAAAACTCAAATGCTTCCTCTAGAGAAGAACACATTCCACAAATATTGACTGATTTGTTATATTCCTCGCGTTTACATTTGACCTTTGAAGCCATTTGTCAATATGTTTGTCATTCGTAAACAATAGCTAAAACGATGTAACTACTCTGCTGTCCAATCAGCCCTTATCACCGGATTCCGGACAGATTTTACGTCATCAGTATGGAATTTCTGTCCCTGAATCAGATGTTCCTCCTTACGAAATGTCCTTCAGTGGCGATGAGCATGAAGAAACATCTGTTTTTGCAGGCTAAATGTGGAGGAACACAGTCTGGTTTGATCAAGAAATAATCAGTTTGTGAAAACAGCAATCCAAAATTTCCCCAGTTTCTGCAAAATACTAGTACTCTTCCTCACTCATTTTAGGCGGAAACAATTTTTCGAACCCAAGCTTTCATGATGGCATTTGTTTTCGGTGGCAAATGGGCTATGATTTCTTAGTTAAGCACAATATAGCACTCCCATTAATTTTATTGGCCAACATTCAGATGGGATTCTATTGATTAAAATTCAGTGCAATAAAATGTAATCCCATTGAAAAATTGAGTAGTCAAACAAGGTGTTCTTACTGCAAAAATGATTCCCCAGTCTGCTTTTTATAAGCACAGATGCACACTAATAACTTAAGTAATGAGTCTCTTAATATGTAAACCAAAGCCTCTGCATAATAGGTTTCTTTAAGTAAATAAATCATCAGAACCTGCACATATCTTACGGGTGTTGAACTACTATTATTTACAACCTAAGACCAATTGGCACTCCGACCTCAACCAATTGATTATCTTATCTTATGGCATGGCATTTATTTTAGATCTTTATAGTTGTAGAATATGTTGTCTGTTCTATATTGGGGAATGAAAAAGAGGACAGGCTGGTGTGAACCAAGTTTTTTAAGTCCTGATAACACATAAAGAAAACAACTGTCATTAATTTAACAACTTTTAACTCCTTGAGGCAATTAAGGCACTAGCACTATTTGCTTTTGTGAAGTTTAATACACACATAGTATGTAGCTAGTACTATAAAAAAGTATGTGTTAATTAGTACCATGTACTTTGCTTATTGTTTTGTTTTGTTTAGTTTGTTTCAATTTATAGTGTTTTTAAGTACTTAAAAACTGTTGTGTTACTGTTTAAGTTACAACTTTTAGATGATTTAAAGCTGCATGCTAATGTACCAGTCAGTGAACTTGTACAAAGTAGGCTAGGCTTCTAGTTCATTAAATTTTAACACCTTTTTAACTCCTTGAGGCAATTCAGTTGTGAGAAATAACCATTTGCTTATATGAATGAAAAAGCACATGCTATATACCACAAAATGTGCTTTAGTTTGTTCAGTTTGTTGGAATTCATAGTTTTGTATGTACTTAAAATAGCTTGAACTGTTGTGTTACCGTTTCACCTTTTTAGATTACTTAAAGCTGCATGCTATGAATCATGTACAAAGTAGCGTAGGCTTCTAATTGAATCAAAGGTTGGCTTAAGACAATAATATTATTAAGGAATTGATCATTATATTTTACACTGATAATAAAAACCACGAACACCTGAAATACTTTAGTAATGTTTATTGTGTTTACACCTGTCAAAGCAACCATCAGAAGTTGCAAGCAAGCAAGCAAGCAGGAAACCACAAACTAGTTACCGTTGCTTTCTGCCATTTAGTTTTCCCATACCTGATTGGCTCTTCTCTTACATAACTTCTGTGTTCACGATTTTGTGAGTTTCACAGTAAGGTCCTGAGAGGATAATTCTTCATATTTTTAAGACATCACAAATTCACAAACAAGACATTTTCTCCATGGTTGATACGAGCGCATGTGACAATTCTTGACTACCTTGAAGTCTTGAAGGAACCTAGCCAGGATTTATGTTTTAAGTTCTTATCTACTCAAATTCTCCATGATAGCCTGTATAACTGAGGCGCTTTAAAGTAATGGGCATAAGAAAGAATAGGCATGTGAGGAAGACATGTGAGGGGCACCCCTCCCCTCACATGTGCCCTGTTCTTTGTCGCATAATACTTGGAAGTGCCTGCTATGCAGGCCATCTCCATGACAATCAATACACAATGTAAATTGAACTTGGTAAGTAGATGTTTACTGCTTGAAAAAAGCCAGTTGTAGTTATTCATTCAGGTATTATTAAACTGCCATGCTGGAGAGTATGGGACCCACTGGGACAGAAATCAAAAAGCTCTCATCATTTAAAATGGAAATTTCCTTTGTGCATCTTCTCCCAGTGCATATCTTGCTCTCCAGCATGAACTGTCCAGAGCCTAGATGGAATGTTCTTAGCCTGGAGTGCCAGTTGCAACAAAAAGTAATGATGTTAATGCTGACTAACCAGATGCAACCGAGGGTTCTCTAGTACACTTGACTTGATATCCGAGGCAACCTTGTCATCCTAGTCTTCCCAGGCATCCTAGTCATCCCACTTATTGCAATCATCCTTTATCCTAGACATCTCAGTAATTCTAGTCATCTTGGGCATCCAAGTCTAGCCTGCAAGCAAGCTCTCCGGGGCACTCTGGCGGTGGGGCGGGAAAAGGAAGGAGAGCTTACAACTACGTCTCTGGAATTTGAATTCCGCCTCCAATTCCCCTGTGGCTCCCTGTTGAGAGAGCTGTCAGATTTCCGCCATCAGCGTGAAATGGAAACAAGCCCGAATGTAAAGAAACATTGAAAAACATGTTCCAAGGGTAATGAAGTCATAACTAATGTCATCTCCACCAATTAGCATTTCACATCCACTTTTTCGATGCAGATATTGAAATTCCAGAGACGTAGTTGCAAGCTCTCCTTCTTTTTCTTGTCCCGCCTCCAGAGCACCCCAGAGAACTTGCTCGCAGGTTATCCCAGTCATCCTAGTCATACAAGTCATCCCAGGCATCCCAGTCACCCTAGTCATCCCCAGTCACCCTAGTCATCCCACTCATTCCATTCACGCAGTCAGCTTGTCATCCCAGTCATTCTATTCATCCCTAGTCATCCCAGTCATTCTAGTCATAGTAGTCATTCGAGTCATTCCAGTCATCCTAGTTACCCCAGTCATCCCTAGTCATCCAAGTCATCTCAGACATACCAGTCATGAGAGTCATCCCAATCATCCTAGTCATCTCAGTCATCCCAGTTATCAGTCATCCCAATCATCCTAGTAATCCCACTCATCCTAGCCATGTAAGTCATCCTAGTCATCCTTAGTCATCCCAGCCATCATAGTTACCCCAGTCATCCCAGTCATTCTTGTCATCCTAGTCAATTCAATTCAATTCTTTATTCCACACTATATAAGATATTTACATAAGTGTACATAGGTGGGAAAATAAAGTAACTGAAAAATAATAATTAACTAAAAGACATTAAGTTCATTTGTGTACAGTGTCCAAAGTAGCAAGAGCTTTCTTGTTGGAGACTGTCATGTTGAAATAATTGGCAGCAGTAAAGAGAGGGATAAAATCTCAGATAATATCGGTGATAAAACATATAAGCAAGGTCAGATTTGGTTGGTTAGAAGACAGGACTTCCATTCTTTCTTAAAATTATGATATGACAGACACTTGAGACCAGGCGGTACAGTTTCCCAGATTTTTGGAGCGGGGAATTTAAAGGACGTCTTACCTAAGTTGGTGGATACTCTTGGCCTGAAATAGTTCAGATTACTGACAAATCTTGTACTATGATTGTGTATACGCGATGCTGGAATCAGGACATCAAGAAAAATATCTGGAATGCTATCAGTCTCATTTCTCATTCTATGTATAAAGCAACATATTTTTAATTCATATATATCATCTAATTTAAGGATTGTTAGGAGTTTGAAATAGGGAGCAGCACTCTCTCTAGGATGTACAAAGGAGATGGTGCGGAGACATTTGTTATGTTTAATACGAAGACAATCTTATCTGGTTTTGCTGGCACATCCCCAAGCAAGAATACTGTAGCTCAAATAGGGATATATTAAAGCATAATAAATTTGTTTCAGTATATTCAGATCTATGTAATATCTTAGTTTTGAAAGGATTCCTAAATTTTTAGCTAATTTATTATTTACATGTTGTATCTGTGGTTGCCAATTGAGATGTTTATCTATATAAACTGTTTTAAGTTGCCACTAGAGTAAAATAAATTGGTGTCATCAGCAAAGCTCCGCACCGAAAGTTTGTCGACACAGTTTGGTAAGTCCTTCACATAGAGCAAAAATAAAAGAGGACCTAGAGTCGAGCCTTGGGGTATACCACAGGTAATATTTTCATAGCTAGATTTAGTAGAGTCAATTTTAACATATTGTCTTCGATTGTGCAAATTACTTTCAAACCAATTATGTGGTGTACCCTGAATTCCATACAGATATAGTTTAGAGAGCAGTATTTTATGATTTACTGTGTCAAATGCCTTTGATAGGTCGAGAAATAAACCATAGTCATCCCAGCCATCCTAGTTACTAAAAATAAATTATAAATATTTATAATACGATAAAGTCATCTTGATTACCAAAAACATACATGTATGAGGGTTTCAATAAAATGAATTTATTACAGGTTGAAGTTCACAACAGTTTCTCTAGAACATGCTGACGTTGTTGTTGTTGTTTTTCATACATAAAGAATACTATCTACAACATTAAAATTATTTTAAATAATGTTTCATGAGATTCCCTGTTGTTCCACTGTAATAGTAACTCTTTTCTTAATCTTACAAACCTTCTCATTAATATACTGTTCAACTATTTTAAGTTGCATTTTACTTTTTTTATCACTTTAGTATTTACATTTGTCATTTAAAGCAAGAATAAAAATAGTCCATGTTTAGGCCTTGATTCAGAGACATTAATCGAACCATGCAGGTCAATGAAAGAGACATTTTTCCCATTAATTTTTAAGGCACTGTAAATGCTCGAATTATCACAGGTCTAGGGTGCCTACTTAATAATTTGATTTGAAAGGGTGCACTGATTTGATGGGAACATTATTTCATTCGTTAAAATTTTAGCTTAGACACTATTTGAGGAAGGTCTTTCTTTCAAATGAACGAAAACTGTAACATTAACAAATAAATATTGAGCATGTCTTTCATTGTATACCTAAATGTGTGTGTGGTGCATATTCTTGGTTTTGAACATTCTGTCGTTGCTGTCCCCAAGCATTATTGTCAATGGAAAAGCATCATTAATGACACATCCAAACATGAGACATGCTCAAATGGCCGGGTCATTCCCTGGTAACTGTATATGTTATACTGCTGATATATTCACTGCAGATTAAGGTACCATATACCATATAATACTAGTAAGGAAGGGTGTTAAAGTCAAGCCACATCAAGCATACCGCTGTAGATGCTAGTAAAAAAATAATTTCTTGAAAATTGAATGTACAGAAATAGTAGTTTTCAATAATAGATTCTCTCATTTTCATCATTGAATACATACATTGTAATGTCAGTGAATTCACATGTGAGGTAGTTAAAACTTTTGTCAGCTCATCTGCCTTTTTTAACTCAATTTAAATGTTTGCAGAAGGATTAATTTCTATCTATTCAAAGTGTGAAAAATTGTTCAGTCTGAGAAAAGTAAAAAATTCACTGCTCATTATGCATAGAAGGGTGCAGATTTGAATTTGATACCGGAGTAGCAGCAACTGCTCAGCGATTCAATTTTTCAAATAATTAGTTTATTAATAGAATCTATGGGGGTGCGCCTGCCCTGGTTTGACTGTAAGGGAGGATTCTCATATAATGTTTTTTGCCAAAAGTGTTAAAGGGGGCGTATAATTCAAGCATTTACAGTAGACCTTTTTGAGGGATTTAGAGCTGACCTATGACACCTCTGGTATCAAAACCATCTCCAGCCAGTGTTAAGGAGAGTGTGAGAAAAGGCAACACCTTCCTTAATGGAACTTCACCGGAGGGCGAGTTGAAAAGACGGTCTTTAGGGGCCTTTTTTCTCCCAGATGTGGCCGATTTTGTTGTGTAGAATGCTGAGAAAAATAGCACCATGATAACACTGAAGCGAAGGATTTTGTCCATGCAAAGACTCAAAAGTTAGAGCCAACTGGCAAGACTACAATTACCGGTATTGTTTACTGTGGGACTGCAAGAGTTGAATGTGGGCTATGTGAAGCTGCCTTTGAAATCTGTCTCTAATCCAGGTGAACCCTTTTACTGAATTAAGAGCTTCAAAAAAATGTTCAAATTTCTTTCAGTAAAATCCTGAAAAAATAGAACACTACTACCAGGCAAAAGTTCCGCAAAAGAGTTTTCATTTGAATAGCAACATCATACGATTTTGTCCACAGATTACGTTAAAGTCACAAAATTAATATTCTTAATAATCTCACCATAACATGGTAGGGCTAAGTTACAATTAACAAAGGTTTTAATGAGTAGCTGACACTAAGCTGGTAAAACTGCACCATTTAAGAAAAGTCTTTTTTAATGATAATTTGTCAGTCTGCTAAAAAACAACCTTACACTTATACACATAAACTACCTAGTTAACCACTTACATTAAAATACACCTGGTATGTCCATTGTGATGTCATCATTTGTTCCATGGCCTCTTGAGCTGGGGTGCCTGCAAAGTAACAAGGAGCATATTTTTATTTTAATGCACACTGCAGCATAAATAACAGTTTATGCACTAAAACAGTTTCAAAAAAATATCATTGATAACTGCAATTTGACAAAAGTTCATGGCTGATTCAGTGAAATTTTGCACCACACTTTTGCAAAAACAAAGGACAAATGGTGGACTTTGCTGTCATTACTTTTGAACAGTACTGTAGCTACCATAATAATTAATTATTCCGAATGCTTATGTAAAGGACAAAATCTCTTAACATACATACTGTAGTGCTTCAAAAAATAACAAAATAAACTGAAAGATTCATTGCACAAGTCTAAAAAAAAATTGACTGGGGTGCATGTGTGATTCAATCACCCCATCACAGATAGAAATAATCTAACCCAGACAGCTGATCAGCATAGTGCTTAATGTATAACAGGGTATTAAAAAATACAAATAATCTACACTTCAAAATCAAACTAAGTAGGAGCACTGTTATATACCTGTCATGTGCCTCCTGGGTTTGTACCTCTTCCGCTACTAACGCACCAATACGACTGGCTCCAGCAGTTGGCATTGTGCCATCACTATCAGAGCTGCTTGGACGAATATTTTTAGCGGCGGGTTTTGCTACAAAAAAATACACAGTTTCTACTTTAAAATTTTAGCACTTATTTGAAAACATCATAATAAATCAAATTCATTTGAAGGTGGACTTACTATAATTGGACATCTCTTTTTGTTTACAGGTACAATGTAAATGAGCCTATAACTGGTAAGTGGGGTGCTTATAAGTGGGGGTGAGGGGGGGGGGTTATATTTGTAGAAGTGTCAGTTCATGGGCATGATGTTTTCAAGTGGGAGCTTAAGCAACGACAATGGCAACATCAATGAGAACAGCAAAAAAGCAACAGGTTTAGATTAGCAAAACAACAACTTTGCACGTGCATCATGCTTTTTAGTACATTTCTTTGCCATCACTGCACGACTATGACGTGAAAATGCCTAATTTCACATTTTGTGCAGGATGTGAACACAAGACGATGACATTCTTTTTCTTTTCCTGAACTTCGATACAGTCTTTAAACTTCAACTCTAGAACAAATTGCCAACATTTGCCAAATTTAACAAGATGGAATAAGCGTGATAAAGTTTGAAGCAGTGCGATTTCTTTTTTAAGTGATGTTTTCATAGCTGTCACCGTCGTTGTTGCTTAAGCTCCCTAAGGTGTGAACACAACACGGTTTTTGTACCAGTACTCAGGCACTATTTTTTGGACACCAAACATGAACATAGGCGTTATAATTTTTACCTGGATCCATGAGTGCTTTCTTTCTAAGCACTTCCACCACTTGCTGTACCCCAGACTGATAAGCACGAGTTGGCGCTTGGCCATCACTGGAGGACAAACCATCTGTAATCTGCAGAACACTATGCATTTCTGTTGGCTGTACACCAAGTGACTCCAAATCCCTAGGAAGAAAAGAAAAGACATCAGAGGGGAAAAACAGTAGTAGCTCAGTGGCTAGAGCATCCAAACTAGTACTCGGAGGGTCGTGAGTTCAATTTTCACCTGAAGCTCAGAATTTTTTCTAAGCTCACAGTCTTGGTCTTGTAAGCTGGTGGACGGCCGATTTTGAGCAAGTCCCTGATACAGTCCTCTATGACTGGTGTATTTATAATTAAATTTTGACCCTGCTCGCCATAGAGCCTCTAGTAGTTCAGTGGTTTGAGCATCTGAACTAGAACTTGGAGGGTCATGAGTTTGATTCTCGCTTGGGGCTTGGAATTTTTTCTGAGCTTTCTAGACTCAGAATTCTTCTTCTTCTTCCAAATTAAATTAATATATCTGCCGATGCAGATTGCACATTATGCAGATTTCTACCAATAGCATCTAAGTGAGCTTAAACTTAGCTTGAACTTAGCTTAAACTTAGTTTAGTTTAGCTTAAACAGGAATTGGGTGCCATTAAGATACAGGTATTTTATTTATTTATTTTGTACTGTGAATTTGCCAGAAAAAAAAAACACTTACATGTACTAAAAATCATTAATCTTTAATTTAAAATCCTGCATTTCTACAAATTTATCTGGTACTGTCACATTTTGAAATGACCTTTTCCCTTGTACTTTAGGAGGAGAAAATTTTTTATCAGTAGACTTAAGGGGTGCATGGAGTAAAAGCCTTGGTGTTTTTTGATGTAATGTGAAATTCACCCTTTGCTTCACAGGCAAATATTACAATTAAGGCAAATTATTATTTTCCCGAAATAAGTTCATGATGACAAAGAAAACATAAAAAGTCATACTCACGTGATGACCATGTTATTACATACAAGAAATTCCAGTTCCTTTGACCAGGGATTTCTGAAAGCTGTTGATTTTGTTCTCAGGGGAACAAAGTGTCCTCCCTTGCATCGGAATCTATAGGGTTGTGTCGTTACTGTCTCTCCTTGCAGAGTTTTTTTATGTGTTACAGCGATGGAGTTAAGATCCTCTTGATGGAAAAATTCATAGGCTGAACAACCTATCATTTCCTGGGGCAGAAAACCAGTTATGGCTGTTGTTCTAAATTTTACAAAAATCCAAAAAAAGGTTTATTAACACTAATACTAATCACCAAACTTTCTAATAAATTTAATACACTACAATTATTATCATCCATCTATTTTCACTGACCGTTGATCAACAAATGTGAATTTTCCATCTATTGTATGCCGTGAAATAAACTCTCTTGCTATGCCTGGTTGTGAGTAATCAGTCGTCTCATCATAAATTATTTCTTGTCTTCCCACTGCTACAAGGCAGCTGAGATTTCTTGATTCATTTTCTTCATCCTCCTCATCATATGAATTGCTGGAAGGGGGCCATGACTTAAGATATCCTGTGCAATGAACTAAACCAGCAAAGAAACAAAATTATTGAGAGCTACATAAATAATATGTTTTCTACAAAAACTGAAAGCTTTCGCAAACTATAGTGGCCTTCAACCGCATGACCGGTAACGCCCCTGAATATCTTACTACCCAATTTATAATTTATGAACACTAGGAGTACCAAAAGCTAAACATCCCTCCTTTCAGAACAGCCCCCAGAAAAAGAACTTTTTACTATTACTATAAAGCTCTGCAACAATTTGCATGTACAACCTCCTTTAAAATTAAGACATTCTGTTCAAGATTTTAAATGTCTTTTAAAAAACCAGCCTTTAGATAATTTTGTAAAATTAATGCTTCTCAGCTCAATGTTTCAATAATTAGTAAGAAGTCAAGCATTGTAATTAGTACTAAGTTAAGTGTTGTAATTAGTAGAACATAATGGTTGGGAGGAGACAATGAAGTACGTATTTCCTATCTGCACATTACTCAGAGCCAAAGTCTACATATACAAGAGTACAGACCGAGGAAATAGCACAAGGATAACACAGCTGTTTTTACTTTGGTCACTTTCCGAGAAACTTCATTAGGAATTTTCTTAAGCAAATAATCAGAGCCAGTTATAAACAAATTTGTGAACAGACCATCCCCGCCTCTCTTTACTTGCTTTATTTGACTCTCTATAAGACAGGCACCTCTGGAAAATAGACACCTAGAGTTGGTCCCTGCCTTTCTTTACTCCCTTTATTTGACTCTCTATTTATAAGACAAACACCTTGGTAAAACAGACACCTAGAGTTGGTCTCTGGCTTTCTTTACACCTGTTATTTAACTCTCTATAAGACAGACATCTCGGTAAAACAGACACCTAGAGTTGGTCCCTGCCTTTCTTCACTCCTTTTAGTTGGCTCTCTATAAGACGGACAACACGCTCAGAGACAGACCCTTAGTGTCCGGCCCAAAGGTGTCAGTCTTAGACAAGTTTACAGTATCATCATCCTACTCATCATCATCAATATATATAACGTGTACCCACCCACAACATAAGGTTTCTTCTCTGCTTGCATGGATTGCTTATTTTTGTTTTTTCTTTTCATAAGGCAGGGTTCATTCTCCTGATTATTGTCTTTGTATTTCGACCCTTTATGTCCACATTTCATGCGGCAAAAGAATGACCTCCTAGCACCAGAACACAATCTAGTTGGAGTTGGTTGGTTCTCTGTTTTGAGTGGTAGACCTGTTTTAGCATCAATAAGCTTTTCGCGTGGTGTAGAATCTGATGACGATAACTGTTCTTTGACTTTGCTGATGTCTTTCTGATGGATAAGATCAAGGAAACTATGCCCCACCAGATCAGACTGCAGAAGAAAATACAAAAGGGTGTATTATAGAACAGAATTGCGAATGGCGTTTACTATCTAGTCTGCAGCAATGAATAAGCCCAAAAAGAACAGTAAACTTAACAAACCAGAAAAACTCCCACTTATTAATATATCCCCTCCCCGCCTCCTCTTGATACCCTCTAATCCTTTACAACCTGAGATCAAAATTTGAATTCTCATTTGTTGCCCCTCTTCATTTCCTACAGAATTAGTGGGGAGAAGTTGATAAAATATCAAACAAATAATCATCTTGTGTGATCATGTCCTTAAGTCTCATGACCACTCTGTTTACAAAGCATTGATATTTCAAGGAAAATTTGATGCTGATCACTCTTAGGGCTTAAAGGGCTAATCAGTAAGGAACTCAAGTGTACCAGCACCCCTTGGGAAGAAAGTTGTTTATCATTTTGATTAAATGCTTATTTATTTCCAACACAGCAGTTTTCTTTTTTTCACTAATCTAAAACAGAATTTTTTTCCTGCATGGTGTAACATAAACAAGCCTTAAACACATAACAACTACGCCTGGCATGTCACATCGTGGATAGATATATTTCATAATTTTTTTTGTACCCATTTTCACACTTTTGATCTCAAAAGAGTCAGCATGTGAGCAGAGCCTTCTTTAGTGAGAAGGAAAAAAGGTAAGGATGATTATCCTCATTTAAGTCAACCCTTTGAATCGCCAAAGCCTGAACTTCTGGACTAGTCAATTCTGTTTTCTGTCATCAAACCCTTTTCTGAAAATGAGCAACCTTTTATTGATAAACTGAAAGCCCCCTGTAACAAGAGCAAAGCTGTTAAGGTTGAGTTCTGACTGTATCCCAGCAACAAACAGCAATTGTTCCACAAAGATCTTACTTGATTCATACAGAGTCTCTCTCAAGTATGCCAAAATCAAGCAAGTGAAAGAAAGGCTCGGCTAGCAGGATGCAAAAGAGTTAAAAGAGACTACGGCATTTAGGATGACTTACAGGAGACTGGTGAAGATAATTCTGAATGGAGTCTGATGCATAGAGTAGACATCCCCGATCACATCCGACAACAAATAAAAATCCTTCTGCTGTTTCAAGGAGAAGATTCTTTAGGTCCTCGTCAGACAAGAATGATGGTTTGTAGTTCGTCTCTGTAAATGGGTCTAAGGCTCCTGAAAATACAAGTGGGACATTATAGCTTGAAGGTTTTAGCATTTAAAGAGAATACTACTATTCACTTGTTTGTGAAAAACAGTTTTTAAATTAATCTCCCCACTTAGAAAGGACCACACACTTAACTGACAAAACATCTGTTTGTTTCAAACTGAAGCAGTTACATGTACTGTATCTGTGATTCTATAAATTTCTTTCCCAGCCAAAATAATTATTGATCATGACCACCATTCTTCCCCTTGAAATAATTGGGAAAAAACTCTTTACTTTATTGAAACTATGACAGTTTAAGCTCCAAACTTTTTTCACTCTCAAAGTCAATATGTTAAAAATGTACATACACATGCAAGTGACAGTTTTGAGTCTACAGTGGTACAGGAGGAGAAATATTAATTTTTGGTAATTCTCTTAAAATGATAATATTTTCTTTTTGGTATTTTACACAATGAAGGCTCTTTTATGAAATATCTTGATTTGACATATTCTTTAGAGCTAAAAAGTTTATGACTTAGTCAATTAACTGAGGCTATTCAAATTCTTCACCATAAGCAAATCAGCTGATGGGGGTGGGGTGGGGAAGGGAAGAGAAGAGAGAGATAAGGGAGGGAAGAGAGAGGCAACAAAGAGGAAGAGGAATTTCATAGCCTATAAGGGGATGTTGTCAGTCACCTTTTAGGGTTTTCATATGCTGCACAGCCATTCTCAGTACCGTTAGTTTATCAAGCTTGCGTGACATGGCATTACACATGGGTATCATACTGGATAACTCATTGATGTAAGTGTTCATCTTGTCACGACGTCTCTTCTCAATCTCACTGTGATTCTGCCTGTTAAACAGTAATGTAAAAATATACATGAGTCACTTTTGAGAATTAAATTCATTCAAGGTGAAAAAAACTATTTTCCTCTTTTTCTTGGCCAGTGCACTAAATAATTTTTTTAAGCAAGCTTTATAAAATTAATTAAAATTAACATTATTTATAAAATAAATAGAATAATATTTGCTTCATCAGTATATAAAGATACAATATATAAAAACTCACTTTGTGTAGGTCTTTTGCCACCCTTTCTTTCCATCCTCTCCATCCCTAAGGAAACAAGCAATAAAAATAACACTTTTATTTTAACAGTCGGCTTTCTCTTAATGGACACCTCAATAAGATGGATACCTCAGTAAAACAGGCACCTACAGTTGGTCCCTGCCATTCTTTACTCCCTTTATTTGACTCTCTATAAGGGTGCAAAAATACAATGGTCCTGGGCCATCATGGGTCTTTATGTCCTGGGCCAAGTTGTTCAAAGACCAATTATATTAGCCCCAACCTGGAATTAAATTTTAATCTGGGTTTCTTGCTCTTCTTTTCAAAAGCATTTTCTCGCATAATTTTCTCTATTCTTTATACAGCATCACATCATTGCATTGCAGGCAAAAAGAATTAAACTAAATTTGCCTTTTAAGCGTTCAAATCTGAATTGGAACTTGGCACTAACCCTGATTTATCTTAACCCTGCTTTGAACAACCCGGCCATGATCTTGTTATTGACATGCAAGGAGGAAGTGGACAGGGCCAACAGCTTAACATTACAACCCAATGGAAAAAGATCACCAAAAATGAACTACAGTAGTTTTGTTATGAACTCCCTCTCAGTTACATGTACCATGGTAATTACATTCAGTGACTTTGTTACAAAATAGTTATGGTGAGTGTGAAAAATCATGAGTCCCAGTCCAGAACCAATGAGTTCCAAAAAAAAAAGAGTCCGAAATTGAAAATGCTCGGGACTTTATGAAACCAGACAGTTAATCTGAAGACAAGACTCCTGGCCAAAACTCTGTATTACAGTACACTGAAATTAAAATATAGTCCTTCTATTTTAAAGCACAACAAAGGCTGAAAGTAATAAGCATCATTCAACAACAGCCATAATAACTGCCACATAAATTACACGAATGGGATATTTCTACAAATACACATGTTCAGATTGATCAATCAATCTTTGCATCCTACGGGAGGCATGCCATGATTTATTTTGCGTCTTTGGAGATTTTTATAAATCTGGGATGCAGGATGCAGAGGTAACAAAATCACTGCACATTCATACTTATATAAATGAACAAAAACTACATTAGACAAAGTTCTTCTCATGTCATAGGAAACCACTTAATGATCAAATTAATACCTTCCTTCCCCATCAATAGTCTCGGTGTCACTGTCATCTCTAAAACAAAAAAATAACATCCATACGTTGTAGATCAAAATGATATAATAATAAACCATATTTATTTTATTAATTGCCCTGGGTGCTTATTAAATTATTGGACCTTGAGAGTGGGCGCTTATTCGAGGCTGGACGCTTATTAAATTTTCACAATTTTCAGCAAGTGTAGTATGTATATTTTGCTACAAATCAATAAAGGGTAATAACAAAAGATGAAGATGTAACAAAACAAGGTTTCTGTAAAATACTCTGAAGAAAACTCCATCTTCAGGGAAGTCTCTTATTAGTACTTATTCATTTTTGTTTGGTGGGAGGGGGAAGCGGGGTGGGTTTTGGTTATGGGCACTTATTTGAGTTTGAGTGGAAGGGGGAGGGGGTGGGCGCTTATTCCAGGCTGGCCATTTATTAACCTTTTCTGCCTTTAGGATGGGCGCTTATTCGAGGTGGGTACTAATTCGAGGTTGGGCGCTTATTCGAATAAATACGGTATTAAATTAATTATTATAATTATATTATTATATTATTTTTTTATGAGAAAACATGTGTAACACAACACCGCTTGCAAGCAAGAGTCATATCCACGTTCCTGTAGTGAGCTTGGGCTGCCTGTGATTGATGAATGTGTATTCAATCTTTGCAGTTGAATATCAACCTGAAGCATTTGAAAACCATGCCTAAAAATTCAGGCTTGTTCATTTACGGTTATTTATTTTACCACAAAACCCAGTTTGCCAAAAGGTGCTCTTAAGAAACTAACTCCACTGTAATGTAGAGGCATATACTCTGCCATACATGTACTACTACAATCTCTTGATACTTATCAATAAAATTCTACTACCACATTATTTTCTAATGCTGCTAACCTTGGTAGCTTTGTTTGGTTTAAAGCAGATGATATATAGAAAAAATAAGTTTGCATTCCACCATCTGTATTTGTGATCATAAAAACCCAAATTATGTAGCATTTAATGAATGAGGCTGAGTAGGATATGAAGAATTAAGCAAATCGAGGAGGGTGTTATCCACTGAGGCCAAAGGCCAAGGTAGATAACATCCCCCAAGATCTGCTCAACTTCATATCCTACAAAAGCCGCATTCATTTATTGCTTTATTATTCATTCAATATAATTCCAAGTTTAAAAACATAGCTGAAACATGCTTACCTGCGTCGATGTTAAATTACTCATCTTTGATAGTGTACTTTTAGGTTTGTCCAGCTCCGCAAATATTCTACAAATAGCAGATGTCGTCCTCCAAGCTGTCTTCTTGCTTTTTTTGCCATGCTTTTAGCTATTATTTTGCCTAGTTCCAGCTGTAGTTCTTACTCTTGAAACGAGTGAAATGCCCGCCATTTTTTTCACAACCAAAACAACTCAACCTCGTCCCCAGGTCTTCTCGGTAATGGTGCCTTAACCTGTAGCGGGCTGCATTTTTGATGTCATTTCCTTGTTAAACACAAAATTCTTCCAAATTTGGTCATCAGTGACTGGTTATGGTGAATTATGCGTGTGCTTTTAGCCAATCAGAATTGGTGAAATATTTCATGAATGAATAATAACTACCTTTAAACTATGAATAACAATTGCAATTGTATTGTGCAAATTGAATCAAACACCACTTTGCATCTAACTGGCTAACAAGGCGGAAAAAGTATTTCCAATTCCGTTTAATCGGAAAACTCTATAAATTAAATTAGATTTGTACAACGAATTGCAACCGAAAATTTCATTGCTAATGCCAGAAATTCCTAGAATGTTTTACAGTCGTGCCAAACACGTGAATTGCACACAGGCACTTGTATATTGTCAGCAAAAGTATAGATAATCTATAATTATCTATTTATGTTAGCATACAAACTATAACTTAACAGTTCAATAAATCCATTTCTTAAACAAGTGTAAACCAAACAATTTCGTCGCTAATGACAAAAATTTCTACAATGTTATGATGTCGTGTCAAACACGTGAAATTCACACCGGAAAATAAACCGGTCTGTTATTGGACGGATTTCATGGCATCACTTCAGTTGATGTTGCTACCTCTTATCCTTAATAATTATATAACGCTTTCTCAAAATTTCCTCATTGTTTGAGCAAACAGGTTAGTAACACTGGAAAGCCACAACCCGGAGGAAAGCTTGGCCCACAGCCATTCCCGTCAAGACAACTTCCGATCCGTTAACGAGCGTAATACACAGCTGTAAGTGTAATTTGCCTTCTCTCTCCAATAGTTTGAAGCTGCTGATAATAAAGATTACAGATGAAAGTTTACCAAGCTAGCGTTGAAAACTCCCTAAAATTTAGCTCATGATCAGTATCCGTTTGTTGTAGAGAAACCTGGTGAAATCTCTTCAATTCATTCCGTGAATTACCAGCTAAATTTGCAAGCCATCGCGCCAATAAATTTAGACCACGAATGCACTAGTTCCAAATTATACCGAGGCTTTCCTTCGAGCCCAGCTATTTTCAGTACACTTTAAGCTGCGAATAATTTATCTGATTTCATAAATATAAACCGTATGATAATTCTTTTACAATACCCTCAGCATTAGCAAAACAATATTACATTGTAAACTTACTCGTTGACACTGATGCTTCGTCTCCTCTTTTTGCCCGAAGATCCATCCATATATAACGCTTGAGAGGAACTGCACTGTGTTAGGACATCGACAAAAATGTTTCACGAGTTGCTGGGCTAAAATGTTTCATCCACACAGCTCGAGACGAACACTATGGAACTATTTGTTCGACGAACGAGGCGAACGCATGCAAAGTTCACGGTCGAAAAGGTCGAAAAGCAAAGCACCCTATCAGTTCACTCGCTCCAGTCTCCTAGCATCTTGGACATCCGCTGAATGACAGTGACAACGCTAAATGAGGTCAATGGCCGAAAAAAAGGGGAGAAGGCTAAATTTTCAACGAAGGCAGAAAAAAAACCAAGAGAAACTGTCTGCGACCGCCGTATATCTGGTGTAAGAAAACCAATGGTGACAGAAACGGAGCAAAAACTGCGTTTGCTTCCTGACAGCTTTTTCAAAAGCCAAAACAAGAGCACAAGTCCTGTTTTCCGACTTTTTAGCTTGAAAAACACGAGCAGCTGATAGCCCGGAGGTGATAGCAAAAAAAAACTTTCATGATATCAAGTAACCAATAACACCGGCACTGATAGTTTGAAAAGTGACCTGTCTACGCAGTTCCTGCAAATCTTTCAATTAATTAATTTTTTTGCTTTTTCAAAAATATTACAAGATAACAATACCTTCCTCCCGCATGTAGAAAGTCTACTCGGCTAGTGGTGGGGGAGCGGGAGAGGACATACATAAATTCAAAGCCGAAGAAAAATATATAGATATATTTCAACCACTGAACTGACGTAAAATTAAGATGACAGCGTGATGTAGATGTTTTAAATATTCGCTGAGTATTTTTACGCACTGCGCCAGCTGTATAGTATTTTGAGGAGGATATATCATACTCCTTAAGTATTTTTACGCATTGAGCTCTTTTTTGATAAGCCCGTAGCGCGAGTCAAAATACAAGGATTAAACAAGAAGAGCTACCCCCACTCCTTTCTTGAGGGAAATGTGCCGGGGACAAGAGTGGGATTCAAACGGGCGGTTATGGAATTGACAGCGGCGGTTCAAGTGCAAATGGGCTAATCTGTTACTACTACTTGTTCTTACAGATTGCCGAGACGGTGCTTGCATGAATACTTGAGATTTACTATTACTTTTTCTCTTACTTGCATTTCGTTTTACATGAGCGAATCTTGTTGAATTTGAAAGCTTATGAGATAACTGGCGAATGCAACAACATTATTAGGGATTTTGTTGCTGGTAGAACAATGGCTGCCAGACTTAGGGAATGAATTATGGTTAACCATGAATTATCAAGGGTACCTCAGGGTTCCGTTTTGATCCCTTAGATATTTCTTTTGTTTATTAAAGATATGCCTGTTATCACAACGAATACAACCACCCTATTTGCTGATGGCTCAAAACTGTAGGGGAGGCACGAAACCATTCAATTATAGTTACATTGCTTATCCCAATGCAGGGGGCAGGGGCGTAGCGTACTTTAGGCAAATACTCACGAGCGCGCGTACTTGAGAAATTGGTAGGATTTTTTGAAGTTTTTCTGTTATAAGTAAAAGCCATTTGTTGTATCGTGACCTGACCTTGTATTGTGCAGATTTGTTCCTGTCTGTCTCGCTGTTATACCGCATCAAAAGTGTGAGTAGTGGAACGTGATAAATTCGAAACATTCTTGAAATTTTTTTGCTTTCCGGCGATCCCACAATAAACTGCGTTTTCATGAAAAACGAAGGGAGACTTGGGAAATTCATACAAACATATTTGTCGCCACATGCGCTGCACAAAAAATAGATCTAATTCGGTTAACTCAAGGTTGTACTTAATGTCATACCCAGATCTCACTCTGTTTTACCCTTTCCCTTGGCCGTGGGAGATCTGGGTACGAGATTATGTTGTACCCACTTCAAATCTCCCGGGGTTAAGATTCTCTGTGTACTGTATATGCATTATAATGTGGCATTGACATTTAAATCAGCCTCATCCTCAGGCGCTTCGTTTTTCGCAAGGTAGAGGCGAGCGACTGGTAATGAACCGCAAGGGACCTTGGGAAGGGTACCCACGGCAGACGGTAAACGCCCGTTGTCTCCTTCCCGGCTTCCTTTGCGCGCACATTTTCATTGAGAGAGAGAGAGAGAGAGAGAAAGAGACGTCTGGGTACGTGGCAACATTTAAATGATATGGGTACAACATTGAGTTGGCGGAATAGGTCTATAGACCCTGACAGATTAACATGTCTGGAAAGTTTTCCCATTCAAAAGCTACTGATTTTTTTAATTTTGTCCCTCTCTATAAATGTCGAAAAAGTGTAACAAAGACTACTTTAATTTCGCTTAACTGGGAAATCATGGACCAGACCATGCTATTAGGTGCACGTGTGGGGCGGTATCAACAAGACTTTGCAGGAAATTACTCCTAGCGATCGAACAGATGTAGAATTGTCTTCAATGGCAAACATTAGAGATATTCAGAACAACTGAAAATAAATAATTGCTGACTATAATTGTTTGTTCTTTTATCGTGCTCATGATCGAAATAAGGGAAGCAAAGGACTACGCGTGCAGAAATTTACACAAACACGCACACGCCGCAATTCTTTCAATCAGTGCTTTTAAACTCCAAATTTCTGCACAAAAAAGTACGCTTTAAGGGGACATTTGTCTTGAGCGACCAGCAAAAAAATAAAGGCGACAGTAGAGCTAATCTTTTATTCTTAACATAAAAATGTTTTGCTAAAATTTCGAGTAGCATTTGAACGAAACATATAATTTGAATTCGTGTGAAGTTTATTCAGGGAAGACGCCTTGCCTCGTGCTTGTAAAAATTCCAGTACCAGTTCCAGAACGTGTTAAAAGCCTGTTTTAATATCACGTTCTATTGTAAACAAGCCTGTAAACTGCCAAAATATGTATTAAAGGAAATCACAAAGGTTATTTTATTTTATATGGACTCGTGTGCGTACTTGCCAAAATGGTCACACCCTGCTGAATGGACCGAATTGAGGCAAATGAAATTTAATGAATAAAACTGTAGCTAGCAACTCGGTCACCCATTCTACCCATCCAAGTAACCTTTTACAACATATGTTTTGAAAAGTCGTGCGGAAATAAATTTAATTCTCGCTCCGGTGCACCATGCCAACCAGGGTGAACAAGCGCGTGCCAGTATGACTCGGTGATATCAGACGAAACAAAAACAGAACCGCGAGCGGGAACCAGGACAAACAGGAAAGAAAGTTCCCTCAGTATCATGTGCACACCCCCTGAATAAGGAGAAAATAGAAATAGAGGACCTACATCGATCCTACACTCTATCCCTCGGCTTCCAACCTCGTTTCTAGGAGATGGGAACGAGGTTGCCCGGCATCAATACTCTCTGTCTTTTACTTCCCCTCGATTATATCAGTGCAGTTTAGTAAAGATAGAAAGTGACCGTGCTAACTAATTTTCTATGAGGATGGTTAGCGCTAACCGAATTTATTATGGATAATCACACGGGTGGCCAAAATTAGCGAATCCTGCCATCTGAGTGACTACCCGAGGTCCCCGAGCGCCCCGAGCGACCAAGAAGGGCCTTTCTCTCCGTTTTTGTCCCGTAAGAAACAATTTTGTTTCAGCCTTGTAATAAATGTTGTATAATGCGAAGACGACGTCAAGTCCATTATTTAAAACTAAAGAAAAGAGAAGAACTTGTTGGCCAATATCCAGCCATCTTGACCCACGCTAGGGCAATAACTCATACATACAGTAATTCCTCTTTTAGGCCCTCAGCTGTGAGCCTCTTGCAAAACCACACTTTTGCGCCATCCCCACCAACTCTCCTCCTAGTCAAAGGCGAGCTAAGGCGCAAAAACTTGAGCAAGCCTCCATCCTCGGGTACAGGCCGATTTATTATTAAAACTATAGTAAATCCCATACATTTAGTAACGAACAAAGAAAAATTATTGACAACTTATATAATTTTCCTGCAAGTCCAAAAATCTTATCTATTTAATTCAATGTAACAACTGCAAATGCCAATTCATCGGAGAGACAAACCCCAACTTCAATGAACGATTTGGTGAACACCGCCGATCCATCCTAAGCCACCATCAACTAAGCCATCCCACTCCTGTCTCCTTGCATTTCAAACCGCGACCTGGACATTAAATCAAGGACGTTTGTCTCATTCCTCTTAAACTCATACGCAGCAACAGTGACGCAGTAAGAAAGGCTAGGGAGGCTCACTCAGGAGCACCAATGTCAATTTTCGGAAAATATCTGTTCGGAAGACGATTTGAGATCTAGAATTTTCGGACCATTTGTTGTAAAATTTCTTGCTTGCCTGCCTCTCCAAGAATTTTCGAACATCTAACAAATGGTATAATTGCCCATTTTTAACGGATTTTTACCCTAAAAAGGTCACCTAGAATTTTAGGGAGCCTTTTATCTGGCTGAAATTTTCGAACAGGTAAGTTTTGATCCCTATAATTTTCGGATCACTAGACTTTCAGCTAGCAAATCCGAACAGATGAAAAATTTTTAGGGTATAAAAATATGCCTATATCTACCGTTTAAATACTAAAATACTTTCAACAATGCTATGTTTAAGTGGTTTTGAACTATATTCTCGATGGGGTGCCCCTGCTCACTTAAAAAACAAGGAAAAACACTGTCTCCTCTTGGAGCACGAAGCTCGTTGATACACGATACTACCTAGTCACCTACACCAATCAGAATCTATTGTTTTAATTTTATATTTTCAAATCCTCATTTGTAACGAACTTTAAGTTTTATCTTCCTCTTTCTTTTAGCCTCTGAAGGTTTGTCTTTCAAACCGAAATACTGGGCAAATTTGTTTAAACATATTTTCTTGTTTTATTCTTTTGTTTACTTGTTCATCGCCTCGCCGTAAGGATCAGTTTGCCGTTTTATGCGTTTCTTTTAAAACTATATACGGTTACAATCAGATTGTGTGGTGGCCCTGTGCTAAGGATGTGCTACTGATCATTACTAATGTGCTGCTATCACTGATTTAAAGCCACGTGCCAGCCGGTACATTTCATGAGATTACGTAACAACACTATAGGTCAAGAAAACTGTTTACATCCCAGGGCAGTTAAAATCTTAAATGGGCAAACCTTTCGAATAAGCGTAACTTACAACTGAACTGAGAAAAATAATATAGTTTGAAACACTTACCACAAACTTAATCCACAAACTTAACTGATAGACTTCCAAATCGTGCCTGCTGTTCGGCTCTCGTTCTTAAATACATTTGGACCTGAAAGCCGTCGTTCCATAGCCCTGTTATGTATAAGTCTTCAAAGCTGTTTTCGATGGACTCTGAACATGAAAGCTTCAGATGCATGGCCGTAAGGTCGGTCATCACGCACGAATTTGCGGTTAATGCAGGGGTTAGCATCCGTGCTTGAAAATTGTATCGTTGAGGTTCATAATCTAATTTTGTTTTGACTGTTAGTTGATTCAGCTTAAATGGTCTGATTTATTGAACTTTGGACCGGTTTATCGATGGCCTAATCCAGACTATTTGTGATCTATGAGTCTCGCCAAGCCCTAAGGGCAGGGAAAAGTTCCCCTGGGGGCCGATTCCCATACAAAACGGGGATGCTGAGTTCGTTTTTCCTTGGGATATAAGTTGCAGCTTTTAGTGTTCAAGAGTAAATACCTCTTACTAACCTCGTATTCTGCGATCCGTACTGTAAGTTACGGAGCAAGTTATTCTACTATGATTTATTCAAACGCTAAGGAAGCGCGCGGGATAATGGCGGCGGGGAAAAGGTTAGTTAGTTGCCCAGGGGCCTCACTCACATATTTTAATGACGGGGGGATCCGACAGAGGTTCATATTTTATACCCAAAAAAATCCCAACTTCAGAATTTGTCTACCCAAAAAAATCCCTCAGTGTTTTTGCATCAGCAAATTTTATTATTTATCTTCTGGAAATTTTTCTTTTCACATAGATTACAATCTCAGAAATATCCCGTAATACCACACAAGCAGTAAATTGCGCTTATGTTATTGTTGATTTGAGCTGATGAAAAATACAATACCCAAAAAAAACCCTGTATTGTTTTCGCGACCCAAAAAAATCCCGGCGTCTTTCATAGACCCAAAAAAATCCCTTTTGGCCAAAATGTCAGACCCAAAAAAATCCCTCGGACCCCCCCGTCATTAAAATATATGAGTGGGGCCCCTGGGGTTAGTTGTTTGTTATATCTCCAGGTTAGAGTAGAGACTGAGAGGGCAACGAAGAATCTAATTCAAGAGGAACGGTCGTTGATGATCGATCGTAGCGAATCAGCGAGTTGACCAAATCGTGAATTTGAGTGACAAGAGCAGCGAGAAAATGAGCTCATTCTCTCTTGGTAGTGAGCAACATTCGTGTACACTTGACATATCTATTAAAGTCCAACACTGCATAAATTGATTATCAAATTTATTTCCTGAATTGCTACGAAAACAATCTTTTAAAATAAAGGTCCCTGATTTGTTAGGAGGCCCGCCAAACTGACCAATCTAACAGAGAGAAATAGAGGCCAATGATTTTACCATAAACGGGTATCGTTAAGGGTTATGCTTAAAGAAACAGACAGAAACAAAGCAAATGGTATCCTTTAGGGGTGAGCGAAAGTCTGAGTCACGCCCAGATTGATCAACTTTAGGGTTTTAAAACTTTGATTTTCCGATGAACATCCCCTTCTTTTCACGTGGAATATCCATTTTCTCTGGTCTGATTCTTTTTTGCACTTCCTTTTCGTTTCGATCGTGGCGACTGAATTAGACGTACTAAACTAGATGACAACGTAATAACTTGGCCTTGTGATGCTGTATAGAGTATCCGGTCAAACACGCCCAGAATACTGAATCCACCTACCAATAGTTCAAATGATTTCGAGTCTTGAAATCAGGGAACGAGAGATATTGCATTTTAGTTTTAACTCTTTCCTCGCGATCGCGTTCTTGTAATAATTAAACAAAAACACAAACCTTCAGAGGCTTCTATTCTCTGAACAACACAACCACTGTTCAGTATTACTGAACAGTTGCTCCTGGTTGCTTTATTCCGAAGAACGGAAACAAATCGGTTTTTCTCGAGAATTTCCGGAATGCCCTCGGTTTTCACCACACAGCTAGATACCTTTCAGCTGTTTTAATTTCAGTCGTCTACGCCAGGTTGTTTCCCTGTGACGCACATATTTCGAAAACTTGATCTTTGTCACAGTTCGCAGGATGACAGCCAACGAGTCAAGACATTACGGTGAATGGGCTCTTTCAAGCTGGTACGATATTTTGCCCGGACCCGATCGCCTCCTCGAAGTCTCAACGTCGTTAAACGAATACGATGCGTGGCATTCGGTGCAAAACTGGTGCATGAAGCTTCTCTCGCCCGGAATAGACACGGAAAAACTGCAGGCAATTGCGGACTCGCTGATCTACAATCACTGGAATCAAGCAAAGAGAATGGGTTGCATCGGAGTCCAGTTTACTTACATAAATGGATTTTATCACAGGTTTGTCTGGAGGGCTTCGTGACATGTTGTCTTCGACGCGATTCGAGTTCACCGAACCATGCGTGGCAAGGCAGTATCCTAATTTTTTTTTTCTGTTGCCAGTTGTGTATGCAAGTATTGCAGGTGTCTCCTTATAAAACCTGATGAAATGCTATTATTTTAAATGAAAATTATCTTCCACACAAATTTTAAGGCAAGTTAAAAACCAACGAATGTTATCATTAAACCTTTGCGTGTTTTTCGCCATAATATGTAATTTAGAAATTTAAAGCACAACAAAAGTGTATTGTTGATATGCTTCGTGACCTCCAGTGCTTTACTAATAAACATTCGATTTCCATTTCCCTTGCAAGATCGTGTCTTAAAATTCTAGACTAGACGAGAAATTATTATTATTACTATTAGAACTTAAACCTCTTTTTCAAGCCTTTACAGAGATGTTCCTATACTATCTCCAGAATGTGACCAACAAAAATGACCTCAAGGATAAAAAACTGTTCTCTAATAGAAACAATTTAGTGCGATTTCAATATAAATAATACAAGTGTACATACAAGACTTTCAATGTTACTGAAAAAATTATTTGTAAATTGGAAATTACGTTAGTGGAAAACAATTTCACCATCAAAGGGGAAAATAATATTATCGTTATTAAAAATCTTAACGTATAATAAAGCAATATTTACAAGGTTCTTGTTATTTTTTGGTGTATATCGAAATATCTATCACTGGTCATCAAATTGACTTATGGTTGAATGGACACAGTAGGTAAAAAATTCTCTCAAATGAATTCTATTTTTTAGCACAATATAATTTGCCATCTTTTTTCTATGTCAACCCAGTGTATGTGAAAATGCCAGGAGTTCCTGCAGGAGCCCATCATTATTGATGGGGGCGCCTGAAAATGCCCAATATGGGTGAATATGCATTCCTTTTTAGAGCCCCATTCATACCATCAAAAATTCTACTACATCATTTAAAACTTGGCAAAGGTTATCCACCACTCCAAAATGAGAACGTTTATAAATGCAAAATGTAAATACGAAACAAGAGGGAGTTCTATACACTACCCTGCGAGTAGAGGCCCTCCGATCTTCCTAGATAAGTCCCTTCCTCTTCACGACTTATCTAGGAAGATCGAAGGGCCTCTGCTCGGAGGGTATCTATACACTGACTGATTTAAGTTTAGTGAGAGTGAGGTATCTTCGTCAAAATGGCACAGTTTAGTCCAGATATTATTTAAAGACATTTCAAAAACGGTAATGACACAGGTCATGTAAGAGTCCTTAATTGTTTTTTGTCGGTAGCTCGTGATAGTCATCATTATCATCATCTGACTAACAAGCTGAGGCCTACGAACTCGGGACCCCTCGTCCAGAAGGCCGTAAAGTAACCAATTGTCCCGATCCTTACAAGGCTGTTGACGGATTTTGGAGACTGCGAGCCTGCGCAGTAAGGCGCCGGTGTTTTTAGAGCCAAGGGAGAAATTTCGAGGACGCGCGCGCACGAGGCCGAGGGGAAAAAAGGAGAGGAGGTCTCCTCTCCCCTTCGCGTGTTCTCCTCGCGTGCTTTACAAAAGCTAACCAAACAAAGGCTAGTGATGATAATTAACAACAATATCACTGTTTTATCGCTTTCAACTCGGGGAAAGGGGAGGGGAAGGGACCCTCCTGGCTAATCAAGTTATTATGCAAAGAATGGGATAGTTATTGAATACACTCCTCCCTTTACTCTATTTGATTACTGTCATGGGCCACTCAGTTTCCCGGTCTTCAACAGAAACCTAAAAGGAATGTAACTCACAAAAGGTCCAGATCTTACAGAAGTCGTTTGAATTTGATTTTATTAAGTGAATGCATACATGCTTTTGGAAGCATTGGAAATAATTATAGTACATTCCAGCTAGTGGTCTATTATCAATGCTGCGTTCTGATTGGTTGAGCTACTACTAGGCTATATGTTATAGCCCACTAGTAGCGAAAAGCGCCGGCTTTGAAAACCAAAACAATGGCGGCTGAATCGCGTTTTGCTAGCTAAAGTTGTTTTGCCGCGATATTTTTGACCAACTAGTTGGATTTTACTAAAACAATTATTCCTCTCGCCCTCATGGCCTCTGAGTCGGGCATGGACAGGACAGGACAGGGTTGTGTATCACTCATTTTGCTTGTTAACACATTAAAGCACCTGTCTGCGTCAAAAGGCCAATCAAAATGCGTGTGTAATCAATTCCGCATGCATAATTATTCCTTCATTCCTTAATTATTCCTCTCGCCCTTATGGCCTCTGAGTCAATAGCCCATTCGTCCTTCGGCCTCATGGGCTATTGATTCAGAGCACATTCGGACTCGAGGAATAATTATTGTATTATCTTGTGGTTTACTGTGAGGATGACGATGACGGTGGTGATGACGATTGTGATGACGATGACGATGACGATGGCCATGAAGATGACGATGAAGGCGATAGCACTTATTGTTGTTTTATTTTCAAAGTCATTAGTGTATTGGTCCATGGCTTTAAAGCGAGCACAAACAAGAACTCAACCAAAAAGTTTTAATCGGTAAACGAACCAAAACGTTTTTCTGAGTATGCGATATTTTATATCAGCGGTACTGAACACTACTTCATAATATGACAATTAGTAAGGAAAACTAGGAGGATCAGAAACTAAGCGCGTCCATTGGCGAGTATCATCTCGTGGTGTGGTCTTGTGCTGCTAAGCATTTTGATCATGACCACCGGAGTAATGAAGAGATCAAACGAGACTGCAAGCTTGATGAAATGTTCACACTTGTATGGTATATTATAGATATGCTGTTCATATTTCATAACGGATTTAAAACTCGATGGATGATTGTATAGCTCACGTTACTCAAATCCCGGAAAACACCAAAATTATGCATGCGGAATTAATGATTACACACGCATTTTGATTGGCCTTTTGACGCAAACAGGTGCTTTAATGTTTGACGAGATTGACTGCCGGGGTGATATGGTCGTGCGCATGTATAAGGTACTGGCCGTACCGTAGAGTTCGCGCGTGTGCTTCAGTGCTGATAATTGGTAAGACAAAATCTCATTTAAGTACTCTTGTAGTCCGCTTAGCACGCATTTCCAATCGAGTTATTGCGTTAAAGTAAGAGCTCTTTTCCCAACTTTCTCGTCGAACTCGCGCGAAACGCTTGCTACGCAGGCTGGTGCAACATTATTTCCTGCTACAGAAAAAGGAGGAATAAAAAGAAGAGCAAAAGCAACCAATGTTGTTGTGAACGACTTCTGCAAGATTTGTAGAATTTATGTGAAAATCAGTGGCCGATCCAAGATCAACTCATCCTCGGAGACCCAGGGTCAGTTAGTCGGGTCGATAAAATGTCCGTGGTGAAAGTTTACTGTA